TATGGAAAAGGTCACAAGACACTTCAATCGTTTTTGAAATTGAAGTCAATTACCCTTGGCAGTCAAGTAGATTCCTTTCGCTTCCACAAATAGGTAAAGATCTGTTCTTTTTCTTATAAAAAATAAATAAGATGAATAGGAAGTTTTTCCCAATTGATGGATTTTTTACTCCTGATTCATGATTTGCTGAAAGACTTGAAACCAAAGCTACACCAAGGCTCTTGATGTAACCTCTACCTTAAGAAAGGCTTTAAAGCTGCCAGTGATACCCACTATTTTTACTTATAATAAAAGTACTAGTTGGAAGCATTTGCCAGAATAGAAGAACCCTCTCTAGGCTAAATCTACCTTTGGAAGTTTTGTGCCTTCTTAAATAAGTAGCAAATGCTTGAAGATAATATTACCTATAGGACTGGATTTGTCAACTCCACCAAAGGTTTTAAGGTATCTCTTTGGTTATAGGTTCCACCAGGTCTTTGGATGAGTAATCCCCTCCCCTTCTTTGCATCTTACTCGCTTCTAAAGATAAAGAAACACAGTATTTCAGTGGATAATTCGCAAGGCATCAGATTGGTCAATGGTGATCTCTGGTAAATGGTTGCAGGTGTAAAAAATTTAGGTCGATTATCTAATGGTTTATATAGTTTTAAAAATTTTTTTCAGCACTAGTTAGACCTTAGACTAGTTCTCTTTCCCTTCTTAAGAGGTGGCCAGGCCACAAGATAAAGTCTCCATAAAGGAGCTCTTCTATTGTAATACTTTATTTATATAAATGTTTCTTATATATAGTTTTAGAGAACTCTGTTTTCTCTACCTTATGTAAGGATTCCTCAATAAAGTTTCGGCTTAACCAGCATTAAAAAAAAAAAAAAATTTTTTAAAAATTAATTGTCTTGAGTTTTTAAAATAAAAAATTTTATTTTATATTTTTTAATTATATAATTCTACCTTATAATTTAATCAGAATAATAATATTAATAATATTTTAACTTTTATTAACTAAAATAAAAACTTGAAAACCATAATTTTTTTTCTAAAAAAGTTTTTTCATTATTTGAAAAACTTAATAAGAAATAAAATTATTATATTATTTATTTTTTATTAACTTTTTGATATTATAATTATTTTTTTTAAAAACTTGTTTAATTGAAGAGAATATCTTTATAAACTTTTTTTTCTATTATTAATATAATTATTAAAATACTATATATAATTATAATTGATAAGTACTTGTTTATATTTAAAAACTAATATATTTTATATTATCAATTATCTTTGATGATTATTATATTCTAAAATTTAAGATTAAATTCAAATAGTAAAATTTTTCAAGAAATAATAAAAATAGATACTTTAAGAAAACTTAAAATAATTGACAAGAGAAGAAATAGCCTTTTTATTTCAAAAATATCTATGAATTATTTGTTTTAAAGATAAAAAGGTTTTTGGATACTTTATAGCCAATTCTTATCATTGATAATAAAGTGTTTATCTGATTTTTTTGATTATCAAAAATCAGTTTTTAATTAAAGAAGTTTATAAATAAAAAAAAATAACAAAAGTGAAAATGCTAAGACTTTATTAATCAAAAAGTCCAAACTTTTAGGCAAACATCTTTTTTGTGTGTAATTAAAGAATCAAGGAAAAGAGTTCATTTATATCTACTAAAATAAATAAATATTAAATTCTATAATTTTTTTTATTTATCATGAAATTAATACTTTAGTTAATTTTAAAAATTTGATTGACTTTTATTTCTAAAATTATATCGATTCTATTAATCTTGTCAATTTAATTCTATATAAATTTACATTTATTGGAAATTTTTCACAAAATTTTTGGTTTTTATTTATATTTTTACATTTACACAATAAACTAGCTTAAATTCTGCCTAATACATAAGGAGATTACAGTATATTAATTAGACCTTTGTATTATTAGATGAATTGAACAAACAGATAACATACGATTTAATTATTTAATTCTTTTAATTTCTTTATAGTTCTCACAATGGAGGACAACAAACCCAAACCTCTGCGGTCCCCTAATAGAGAAGGATGAAAAGCATTCATACAATAGGCGAAACCGAGTTTATATTCTTCATTCCAAAGTAATATGCTACCGCCTGAACCACCCCAGCCAGCAAGCTCCATGTCAACACCGTCAAGTTCGAAATAACCTATTCCACCGTGGGACATTGTTATGGCTTCATGTAAAGTCAGATCAAATTCAGTCGTTGTCCTCTTCATAAACAATTCATGGGTAGATTTGGATAATAGCTGAGGCTCTTCGGTGGTATTCGAATTAACCGGTTTTCCGCCGTTTGCCATCATGGCCGCCAACTTTGCCATCGATCGTGAATTCGTTACACCATTATAACTTGGCCCTTCAGGAATCAGCATTTCTATTCGATTCCAGTCTTGAGGTTGTGATTTATCGGGAGAAGTGTGTACAAGAGTTTTATGGGTAACAGAATTAGAATCAAACATCTGGTTAAATATGGGGGGCAAAGGCTCGTTGGTTATCCATTTCGGCAATAGCAGTTTAGCTAGTATTCTTAACATGGGATAAGTGTAAATACTCGCAACGCGCGGATGAAGTTCAGGAGTTATGGAGTAGTGAAATTCGATATCATATGCGGGAAGAATTTCATCAGCAACGATTTTACCAACGGTACGATGTTTAGGATCCACGCGGCGAACAATTTCGTTGAGGTAGTAACCACGTGTTATACCATGATAGGCGCGTACACGTTTACCATTAAAATTGTGAGGCTGACGCTCAAGAATCTTCGCAAAATGATCGAGGTCGTACAAATCTTTTATTTTTATTTCGGTGTCCAACCAACTAACACCTGCACAATGTTGCATGAGGTCGGAGAGGGTTACGTTCTCTTTGTTTCCTTGAGCAAATTCTGGCCAATAGGTCGCAATTTTTTCATTATAATCAAGTATGTCTTGTTCGACTAGACGTGCAATGACGATCGAGGTCTATCGAATATTGTTATATATAAGAGGTGAATACGCGGTCTAGCACAATCATCATGTATAATAATGAAAAGAATACTTACCAAAACTTTAGTACTTGAAAAAACGAGTTGCAGGGTATTTTCGTCGTAAGCTTTTCCACTCCAAAAATTGGTAATGCCACCTTGTAGATCGACCACCATTTCATTATCATAATAAACGGTAACTGAAGCACCAACTTCATCCCCACTCTCGATATTCCTGATGAAAATTTCTTTGACATCTTCAAATCTTGGATCAACGAAGCCTCTCAAACTATCTTTGGCCGATGGACACCACAACCCAAAGAATTGACACGACAATGGTAAAAATGGACCACTGTTGACATAATGATAGGTGAAGAATCCTATAATTAAAGGTAGGAATAACGAAAATAGTTTTATTGATGAAGTGACCGAAGGCTTGATGTACGATTTCTGAGATGGGTGGATCGATAGTAAGTGTGGTTTTTTCTCATTATCCGCCATTCTCGTTAATTTTGCGTCAAATGTGGAACGATTCCTCATATTATTGAGGGTTCTTATAAAACAAATACAATATTTTATTGGCGAATTAAATGAGTTAAGAACAAATTCCGAAATAGTAAGGTTGAACTTTTTCAAGCGTTATTTATAATGATAAATGTTTACAACAAGGTCGATTCTTTGTTTATAAATTGAACAAAGGAAGTAACATGCATACAAACCATATTGTAGACGATCATGTTTGGATCCCCTTAATTTTACCCAATAAAGTATACCCGTCTGGGAAATCTATAATTATTGTTTGGGAACACACCGGAATATTTACACCCGAAACGAATCCATTGAAGAATTCAAACGTGAAGCCCAATATTTTTAGGTTTCTGAAAATTCAAAGTTTTTTCAAAGACAATTGCTATTTCAATTTAATCGAATATTGTTCGAGCTATTATACTTCTGAACTTGATGATAATTTGTTTACATCACGGCTGAAAAAATTTTTACATATGGGTTCAACTTACGTACAACCATACAAATTTTAAGCCTAGAAAAGTAATTAAATATTTC